GGCACCATACTGTCTAGATACAGCATCTTGCATAGTCTAGATACTTTATGTGGAAGTGGTAAATAATCTTGACTCCATCCATTAAGCCTCCTGGGCTAGAGCTGGGAATTCCCAGTTGGCTGCTTCTCTGGTACTGTACGTGTTGCATGTCTCCTGGTGACCCTGCCTCCCAAGTACTTTTCACACCTATCTCTGTCTCATTTGCACTGTGAATGACGTGGTTCAGGCCCTCCTGAGGTCTTTTCTGGATCACCCAAATAATATGTAAACCAGTGTTTCCCTGTTTTAATTCATCCTTGTCATTTCTGCTGCTGGAAAAATCTTTCTAAGTACAAATGAAATCACATCTTTCTCCTGCTTAAAACCCCAGCCCTGGGTCTCCCCATAGGTACTGGGATCAAGTTCAAGTTATAAGTAGGCCCACATATTTTTGCCTGCCTCTCTGAACTCATTTCCACCCTTCCTCCTCCTGTGCTTGTTGGCAGCCATTTAACTTGGAATTATATTAAATTTATACTCTTTAATGTCCTATGATTTTGCGAATATTACTTCTATCTAACATGCATTTCCTTCAAGACATAGATCAGGTGTCCTCTCCTGTAAGACACCATTCCTTTCCAGGTTAGATGTCCCTTCCACGTTCCAGGGATTCGTCTACATTTCTCTCTCCATATGACTCGCAGCATGTGTTGTGCTTTAAGATATGGGCTCTGGAGCCAGAATATATGTTCAGTCCCGTTTCTTTTATCATGAGCTTTGTGGCCTCTAGCAAGTTTCTTAGCCTTTTCCCTCTGACTAGAAAATGATAGCACTTTTCTCATGTGGTTGTCTTGGGCCTTATACTAAGTTGTTATAAATGGAGCACTTCGAATAATGCCTACCCCAGAGCCTAGACTCAGTGTATATTAGCTGTTCCCAATAATTTTATTTTCAGTTTTTGTTCCGTAAGATTCTAAGCTTTTAAACGAATGGACCTCTTTGTTTTCTCAGCATCTATCGCAAAGAAGGCATTTCTGTGAATGCAAAATGAACTATAAGTACCATAGGTAAGGTATTCCATACTTAATGTTACTTTCCTATCCCCCAGTACTTCCTGGCGCATTTAGTCCAAACAAGAACAAGCTAGCAGTGTGCATATCAAGTCTAAAAATTTATAGTGACAGCATATATTTATATGCAGTTATACGATTCATTTCCAAAACAAGGTTTCCAAACTTAAAGAATAATCTAAGTTTGCTAGAATTTTATTATTTTGGTAGTTTATATTACAAAATCAGCACTATTCTTTTGTGTTGGTGTGAGACATCTTTTATGATTCTGCATACCTCTAGCTTCGAATCACCACAGAATCCGCATGTTGGTCATGTTGTCGGCTTAGCTGAATATTTTCTTCTCTGAAACTCTCACATATTTTTGTATTTTAAGTAATGTTTCAAAATCACATCATGTGTCCAATAGACTAGTAGCAGGCAAGCTCTTGCCGTCTGTATTACATAAGCTCTGAGAAAGGGTTGCTAAATGGCGTGAGATTTCATTTTATAGCAACATCTGGTAAATACACAAGACATTTATCATCCTCCATTTCTAGATTAATATATTTTTATTTAATAAGCATACAATCATTTTCAGACTAACTGCATTTTTAGCAGTCAATAATCTTCTGGATGTCTATATTAGAATTAGATTTGACTATGAATGATAGAAACCCAAAACAACAATAGCTGGCTTAAACAAGTTAGACATTGATTTCTCTTATGCCAGCATAGGCGGTCTTGGGCTGGATGGGAGTTCAATCATCAGAAACCAAAGCTCTTTCATTTTTCTACTCTACCATCCTTAATGT